GGCTTTTGTTGTCAATGCTTTTGGTGTTTTAGTCACAATGTCCTTGCCTATGCTTATGTCCTGAATGGTTTTGCCTAGATTTTCTTCTAGGATTTTTATGGTGTTAGGTCTTATGTTTAAGTCTTTAATCCATTTGGAGTTAATTTTAGTGTAAGGTGTCAGGAAGTTGGGTCCAGTTTCTGGTTTCTGTACATGGCTAGCCAGTTTTCCCAACACCATTTATTGAACAGGGAACCATTTCCCCATTGCTTGTTTTTGTCAGGTTTGCCAAAGATCAGATGGTTGTAGATGTGTGGCGTTGCCTCCGAGGCCTCTGTTCTGTTTCGTTGGTCTATATCTCTGTTTTGGTACCAGTACCATGCTGTTTTGATTACTGTAGTCTTGTAGTATGGTTTGAAGTTTGGTAGTGTGATGCCTCCCGCTTTGTTCTTTTTGCTTAGAATTGACTTGGCTATGCGGGCTCTCTTTTGGTTCCATATGAAGTTTAAGGTGGTTTTTTCCAGTTCTGAGAAGAAGATCATTTGTAGCTTGATGGGGATAGCATTGAATCTATAAATTACTTTGGGCAGTATGGCCATTTTCACGATATTGATTTTTCTTAACCATGAGCATGGAATGTTTTTCCATCTGTTTGTGTGATAGAGCGGGTGCAAGCCATTATGACGAGGGAACTGTAAACGTCAGAATGCAGAGGATTTTCTCTGGGACATTCTAAGCTTTAGAGAAGAATCTTCTAATGATGCTCCTGGGATGAAATACTCTGAAGTGTGGGGCTCTAGGAGGTGGGAAGGGTCTTGTGGGTTCAATTATCTCATGTTCAGATCATCAACCAATCCCCATTTTCAGCCCTATAGCTCTGCTGCAGCTGGCATTTCTGAGCCTGAACCTTCCCAGGACACTCCAACCAACTTCTCTGGCCACCTCAGCTCCAGCCTATCTGGGATCATGCTCATTTTTAATGTACTGCCCCACCGCACCCTCTTCTCTCTCTGCCTTACAGAAATATGGTTAAATCTCTTACCACTAATGCTCACACTCCCAAGTTCTCTATGATATTGTGACTTTATAACCTTTTAAACTTCATTATTCTTAGTTTAACAAAGTTTGCAGGAAGTGAGAATGTCTTTGGTCTATAATATACAGTAGCCTATTTTACAGAATGCTTAGGTTATGGCCAGTTTGCTACCTTGATTATGAAATCTCATGCTTGCTTCAGTAGCACATATACTAAAATTGGAATGAGACTATGAAATCTCTGATTTCTTACTAAATAGAATTAAATATAATAAGAGAAAATGTGAAATAACTTTTACATATTTGTATTTACACAGAACCAGTTGTGGTCATTCACAACTTGGAAATAGAGGAATTCTAATGCAAAGTTCAAGTTGTAGTTGGTTCAAAAAAATTATTTTAATAGTTTTGAGAAGGAATCTGCTAAGCTTTTAATAAGTAGTTTATGATTTTAAAACTCCATTGTCAGGATTATAAAAGGCAAAGTCAGGCAGAACACTTGCACTAGGCATTATACCCAGCTCAACACAGAGCTGTGGCTACTCTTAACTGGGTAGCCTCCACTCCAGTTTGGAGGCTTAGAGGAATATTCTCTAAGTCTCCTTCACCCTTGGTCCAACACCACTTTGAAGAGGTGCCCAAGGAAGATCCTGCTAAGCATGGTTCAGGATCCTGAGATCTTCCTGGATATTCCTTCTTTTCCCCAACCTTTACCTTCAATTCATTCTGAGCACCATCCAATGTATAGAATAGCAGATATTGCCCCTGCATTTTAACCTTTCTATCCTGTGAAGTGACCACAATTATTTGTGATGGGTAAGTCAAAAGGTGGAGAAAATGAGGCAGGAAATGATGTTGGCTGAGGCAGAGAGATAGCATTGTTGTACACAGGTAAATTTACAATCAACAAGCTCATTCTCATAATATAAGAAGGTTCTGGGAAATAGGCCAACATCACTTGTAGACCACAGACTTCCTGGTGATGTGCCCTAAAAAGTCATCCTCTGGTCACTTTACCATATAATTTGTAATAATGTGGTACAGATATTTGGATATATGTGTGAAGGGAGTACAGGATTGAAAAAAAAGATGTCAAATTGTAAAATAGAAGGAGGAAATGAATAAAAGAAAAGAAAGCAGCAAAAACGAAACTGCAAAGCTTCTGAGGGCTATATGGTGTTACTGAACAGTGGTTTCTTTAATAACCTGTCCAGATTCTGGCAGTACTTGGAAGATGTTGTTCCCACCATTCCAATCAATGAATGGCTAAAATTCCATGGGCTCCTTTAATGTATACTCTGGTGCGTGTCAAAGTGAGGGAAGGATTTGGAAGACCCACTATGAAGGGGCTGTCTGGTTTGCTAGGACTCGCAGTGCCTATGCCTCATGGTGCCACCTGGATGCTTGGTTATTCCGTGACGAGTAAGGCTGCCAAATTTATCCTTAAATGTCACTAATTTAACATTTTGCTGATGAACCTAGAGTCAAAATCACTCAAGATATAGGCTTGTCCTTGTATTGCTGTCTGTGTCGGGGCTCCTAAAACCAAGCTCTCCATGCTCGTCTCTGTCAGTGTCACTTCTTGGCCTGATCACTGTGGTTTATAAAACGCATAAATGTCAAATGTATGACAACAATAACATAAAGCTCTAGAGGGGAAAATGGAGGTACATTACCATAAGGCTCTGCTGAATATGGAGTGGCTTACTAGTACTCGAATGGGGACTATGGTAAGTTAAAGAGGTATACCACAAATCCCAAAGCAATCACTAAAATGAGAACAAAACAACGAGTTGTAGCTAATAAGCCAACAACACAGATAACAGTGAAATCATGAACATATTCAATCCCAAAAGAAGGCAGAAAAATAGGAAAAAGGAAGGGACAAAACAAATAGCAAGATGATAGATTTAAACCCAACTCTGTGAGTGATCACATGGCATGCAAAGGATCTGAATACTCCCATTAGAAGCAGTTTGTCAGATTGGATTAAAAAAGCAAGACCCCAACTGTATCTTCCCTAAAAGAAACCCACTCTAGATATAAAAACACAAATAAGTTAACAGTAAAAGAATGGAAATAGATACATCATCTTAACATTAATAAAAGACAGCTGAAGTGACTATATTACTGCCAGTCAAAGTAGATTTCAGAGCAAACATTTCTAACAGTAAAAAACATAATTTCACAATGAGAAAGGAGTTACAAAAGGACATAACAATACTCAACTATTAGGCCTCTAATAACAGAGGTTCAAAATACATGTAGCAAAATTTGATAGACCTGTAGGAAGAAATAAACAATTCCAAAATAATAGAGATTTCAACACTCCTTTCTCAAACAAGTAGACAGGAAATTAGTTTGTAGGAGACTTGGTCACACTATCTACCAAATTAATCTGATTGATAATCATAGAATATTCCCCTCGACAATAGCAGAATACCCATTATTTTCAAATGCACATGAAATATTCACTAAGATAGAACATATTCCAGGCAACAAAAAAAGTCTCAATGAATGCAGAAGCATCAAAATAATACAAAGCCTACCCCAGACAATAATAAAATTAAATTAGAAATCAATAACAAATATATCTGGAAAATCCCCAAACATTTGGAAACTTAGTTACATCTTCTGAATAATCTGTGGGCCAAAAACTATGTTAAAAGGAAAATTAGAAAGCATTTTAAATGAGTGAAAAACACAGCATATGAAAATTTGTGGGATTCAGCTAATGCAATAGTAGATGGAGAATTATAGCCCTAAATGGTTGTAATAGAAAAAAAAAGAAAAGAAAAATTTTATATCAATGGCTCCATTTCCACATTAAAAATAAGAAAAAAGAAAATATTAAACTCAAAGTAAGCACAAGAAAGGAAATAAAGATCAGCAAGGAAATCAGTGAAATAGAACACAGAAAAATATTTTAAAAAATGAATAAAACCCAAAGCTGTTTTGTTAAAAAGTTCAATAAAATTGGCAAACTTCTAGCCAGGTGGATGAAAAAAATATAGAGAAATATAAAGTATCAATTATTACATCACTACAGAGTCTCTATAAATTAAGATGATAATAAGGGAATATCATGGAAAACTTTAGGCCAATAAATTCAACAACTTTGATGAAATAGTGAAGTTTCCTGAAACTACCAAAGCTCATTTAAGAAGAAATACATAACCTGAATATTCCTATATTGTTACTAAAACATTGCATTCATGAGAGAAACATTCTTTCTTTGGGAACTAAGGCTAACAGAACCCAAAGTTATGGGAAATAGAAGCCATAATTTCACATGGCTGATTAGAATTAATAGTGGGAAGATCCACTCTGATATCATACATTGGCTCTGCTCTTTCTATCATGGAAGAGGGACATGTCACCAGGTGGCCGACTGATCTCCCTGGGATATGGTGTTGGATCAAAGGCTCAGTGTTGGTCTTAGCTCTTACCAGTTTGGTCACAGTGGTTGTAGCCACCTGGACTTCGGAAACTGAGAGTCAGAATTACTGTATTTATGCACAGTCCCCATCCCTACCACCATGTGATGAGCCTATTGAGCAAGGACAGGTGTGGCTGGGAGAAGAGGCTGGCTGATATGCACAGAATGGGGTATATTAATTAATATCCTTCTTTTCTGAATTCTTTGAATGTTAATGTGAGGTACACATATCTGTACACTCCATGCTCTTCAGAGATGTCCACCTGCATCCCTGTCCTCCAAACTGCATTACCACAGTCCATTATCATCCCTTTAATGCCTGTACGATCTGTATGGACATTCTCGTTCCCATACCCGATAGAAGTAATTTGTATACCATATTTTTGCCCCTTTTGTGATTTATGTAGATAGAGGCTTATCAATTTTATTAATTATTTCCAAACAATTACTGTTTGATTTTATTGGCTCTTTATTTTTTTCTGTTTCAGGATTTCTCCCCTTTAGCATTTCCTTCATCCTCCTTACCTTAGGTTCAATTTTTGTTCCTTTTCTAAATTTTTAATGTGGTATCACAAATGATTGTCTTCAGATTGTTATCATTTCTGAATATTTAGTGTAGATATTTTTTCTACATATTGCTTTATTGTTAGAGCATTTAGATGAAATGTGGTGCTGATTGCAAATGTAGTCCCTAACAGAGAACTTTCCTACTTGCAATGATCCCTGTAACCCAAATAAAGATTCCCTAAGTAATGATCCAGTGGTTTAATAGTACTTAAAATAAATACTACATTTTACATCAGTTTCTGTAATTAACTAGAATAATATATACCTTCTAGCCAGGCTTAAGCTTCAGAAACAAAATATAATCCTAGTCTTTTTAGGTATTCCAGTTCGGAATCATGGAGATGCTTTTTCACACTGCCTGTTCTTTTGGACTTGCCTTTGTTTGCCTGTCAAACCAAGGGACCAAGAGGTCTTTGTTATTTAAGTCATGTTGTTCTGGAATGTAAATTATCCTTACTGTTGGTGCAGAATGTATTCCATTGCCTGTCCGGCTTTTTAGGGTAGCCATCCTGTGCTTGTACACCCAAGGCCAACTACATTCTATCCTCAAAGAAATGTATGTCTTGTCTCTTACGGCTCTCTTTAGAATGATTAGCAACTTTATAATTACTAAAGTGCTAAATAAGGTCTCAGCTGTGGGGTATAATGGTAAATTGAGACCCCTTTTATAATGGAAAAATAATTGATTATAATGGTGAGCTGGGACCCCATTACAATACTCTCAAAATTTCCATTTTAGTGATAAGTAGTGTCAGATGTCAGTGTTTAGAATATTTCGATGGTTCCAGGACCATCTCAGGAGGTGAATTTGGGCCCATCCTAGTCAGTCCAATGAAGGTCATTTACTCTCTTTTGTTTCTAGCAGATGACTTATGGATATATCCTGGAAATACACGACATACTGTGGACTCAGAGGACATACCTGAGGTACTGGGACATCGGGATATGGGAGCTCAGCTGGGAGGCCTGTTGTGCTGAGCAGGATTCAGGGGCTCAGTGGTCTTTCAGAATAACTGGCAACCCTCTGGTTTTGGCCCAGCAGTTTCTTCCAGTATGTCACAGCACGACCCATGTTTTTTGTCTCACTGCAGAGCCTTTGCAAGGTGCAGTATGGTAGCCACCAAGCATCGCATACTGAATATTCCTTCTTTCCTTCTGGGGAAAATGGCTGGTGCAAGTTGTTCTGCCTGACATTGCCTTTTAGAATCCCGACAATGGAATAGCCATTTAATTTTAAATAAATTGAAACAAAATAAAACTTAAAATTCAGAACCGCAGTCACACTTGTCACATTTCAAGTGCTCAGTAGTCACATGTGGCTAAGGGCAGCCATCCTGGACAATGCAGAACAATCCCATCTCTGCAGAAAGTTCTATTAGAGCTGCTGGATCGTTAGGTGGGCAGGTCCCTTGCACAAGTAAATCTGGACAGCTCCTCCCCACATTTCCTCTCTGTTCCTCCTTCTCAACATCCTGGCTTAGCATTGTGCACAAAATCAGAGAGGCGTGCAGGACCCAGATTTTCCAGGTAAAGGAATAGGGGTGTGTGTGGCGGGGGTTGGGAGAAATTTGCAATTTTGGTGAGGAGAGGACCTGTATCTTAAAATGTCTGGTAAACATGTTTTCAGACTATATTCTCGTTGGTTCCTGTTTCCTGTCTTTGCTAATTTTAGGTTGTATTCGTTTTGAAGGCTGAGCCCTACAAATTATTGCCTCTTTCAGGGGTTGCTGCTCGGAGAATACTTGTTTTACAAATAAAAGTTTCCTTTCACTTGTTTCGGAATTTATACAGAAACTTTGATTCTTCCAGGGATAAAGTTGGGTGAGCGGACAGAATTAGTTCTTCAGGAGCTGGTGGGAAGAAGAACATTGAGATGTGTAAGGGGCACAGGTCTGTATGCGTCCCCACAAAGACTGCATCCAGGTCAGGATTGGAGGTTCTGCAGTCTGAGGTCTTGTTACTGGGTTAACTGACTGCTCAGAACTGCCCGTTAGGGAAACTGCCTCTTCAGGGACAGTCCTGGGTTTACTGGGATTTGAGCTCCCGTTTAGTGGATAGAAGGAGGCTGTGACTCTCTGCAGTTCAGGAGAAGCTGGGTTCTGATGGATACTTTTTCTTTAGGCAGAGGGAGGATAACTCAGCCACCTGAGGTTAGCACCTACAAAAGCACAGTCTCCTGGCTTTGCCTCTGAGTTAGGAACAGCAGAGCAGCATTAAAGAGCCCATGTACTAGAAGGAGGATGTGAAGAAACACCCAAAGAATGTCACAAAAACCCAGAGTGTCACAGCATTGTTTTCTTGTTGCTGGTGTCCTATCCTCTCTCCTAACACCAGCCACTGATTTTTAAAAATTTTATGATTTCTCTTCTTTGTTTACAAGAAGCTGTTTCCTACACCCTATTCTTGAAGGATAAAGAAATAATCATTCTTCCAAAAGAAATACCTGGCTTTTCACAGTGTGTCATGTTTGTTAGCTTCCTATGAGGTGACTCTGTCCTTAACAACTACCATTTTCTGCCTGTTTTGGTCATAGTCTGCCCCAATAAGAGTCCTTCAAATATCTTTCTCCATTGCAAAATGTTTGTAGGTAGCAATGAAATAAAACATTTAACATTTATACCATGTTTCTATAATGCTACATATTAATTAATAAAGGAAAGGATTGTCATTTTCACAGGTCAGATGTGGGCTGGACATAGTGACCAATCAGAGGAAAGAAGCAAGGAGATTATTCATTTATTTATTTAACAAATAATGACTGAGAACCATTCTTTGCCCAGTATTGTGTTTGTCTCCAGGGAATAATAAGACATACAAGACATATGTGGTCTTCCCGTCACAAAGATTGCAGTCTAACAGGAGACAGTAAAAAAATCAAACAAATAACTTCTAGAGTAATACACATCTTTTTTATTATGATACTTTAAGTTCTGGAGTACATGTGCAGATCGTGCAGGTTTGTTACATAGGTATACACATGCAATGGTGGTGGTTTGCTGCATCCATCGCCACATCATTATTTCTTCTAATTTCCCCAATCTCTCCACCCTCTGCTATTCCTCCCTTAGCCAGCTACCCACCCTGGCCCCAGTGTGTGATGGTCCCCACCCTGTGTCCTTGTGTTCTTATTGTTCAACACTCACATATGAGTGAGAACATGCAGTGTTTGCTTTTCCGTTCTTGTGTCAGTTTGCTGAGAATGATGGTTTCCAGTTTCATCCATGTCCCTGCAAAGGACATGAACTGATCCTTTTTTATGGCTACATAGTATTCCATGGTGTATATGTGCCACATTTTCTTTATCCAGTCTATCATTGATGGGCATTTGGGTTGGTTCCAAGTCTTTGCTATTGTGAACAGTGCCGCAATAAACATATGTGTGCATGTGTCTTTATAATAGAATGAGGGTAATACATATTCTGTAAGAACTCTCTGGGGTGCAAATACCAAGTGGACCATGCCAGAGGGTGTTGCTGGTGGACAGTGGTGTTGGGGAGACGCTCTGGAGAGCTGAGGCCTGCATGCTAAGCAGGAACAAGCTGGGCACTAGGTTGGAGGGTGAGTGCTCCAGAGAGACGGGACGATTCTGCAAAGGCCTTGAAGGTGGAAGGAGCCTAGATTTCCAGGACTTTGACGGTAGTATGGCTCACACCTAGGAGAGAGGAGAAAGCTGATCATGCATGGCCTACGGACCATTCCAAGGACTTAAGTTATTTTTGAAACCAGTAGAAAGCCACTAGGAAATTTAAACCAGAAAAAATATCAAATGTTCGTTAAATAACATCTGATTGCAGAGCAGAAAAGGGACTGAAGGGGAGATGATCAATTAGAAGGCTGTTAAATTGCAAACTAATGACAGTGGGTTGTATTAGCACAAAGATGGAGATAAATGGGTAATTTTGAGGTTTTTTGGAAGTAGAATTGATAGGATTTGGTGATGGACCAATGAGACAGAGAGGATGAAAGAGCTGTAGATGACCCCAGGGTTCTGGAGGAGCCATGGGCTAGATGGTGGTGCCGTCTGCTGAGGGGGAGCAAGGGAGGCAGAACAGGAGGTGGAGGTCAGGGCTTAATTGCAGCCAGGTTCTGTTTGAGATACCCATGAAACAGCCAAATGGAGAAGCTGAGTGAATATAAAAGTTTGGAACTCTGAGGAGGGTATAAGCTACAGACCTCATACAAAGGCATCCAAGCCACAAATCTCTAGGTGGGGGAAGGGGCCAGACCAATGCTGAGGAAGCACTGGAAGCGTTTATGTTTGTGTAAAGAAAAAGGAACAATCTGGAAATGAAACTGTAAATGGAGGGTTAAGGAGACTTTTGAGAAATGCGGCAGGAGAAATCAATGTAGCAAGTTCCCAGCAAAAAAATAAAGTTGTTGGCTATAGGCAGCCAGGGATTCTAGTTGCTTCCATTTTCCTAAAATGACATGGTTATGTTCTCAATCTACAGGAGTTCAAGCGACAATGGCAGCCAAATTCAGCAGTGTGGACTTCAACCTCGGCACACCAGGGGCCAGTTATGGTGAGAGGGCGTTCAGGGTTCCCCAGGCCAGGCTGCAGGGAGGTTAGCAGGTCGGGGTGGGGGTTGTCCTGCCTTGCCAGCCAGTCCCCATTTGAGCAGGAGAAAAACATTTCCAACCTCTTTTCTCATTTCCTCCTCATTTGACATGCTCTTTCATCTCTCTTGACCCTCTGCACTTTCTGCCCATGGTGTGGCTGTAGCAGCTAAGCAGAAGAGAGATTAAACATCCTTTGATTGACCCAGAACTCGACACGGTTTCTTATCTCCTACTTCCGGCAACATGGGCACACCAGAACAGCTGGTTGTACCCTCTCCGTTTTTCTGCCCCTTTCTCCAGCCTGGAGGAGGATTGGGAAAGAGGAATGTGAGAGTAATTGATCCCTCGCCCGGGCCCCTAATTTCCCAGCTCCTGGTGGTCTCACCATAACCAACAAACTAAACTGGCTGGCTCACTCGGTGTATCACATGACCCTCCATTTTATTCCTTATCTATAGAAATTCACTATGTCAATTGAGCTTTTGCTGGTTTAATAAACTATTCCAAAGTTTAGTAGCTTAAGACATTAGCCATTTAATTGGCTTTTAATTCTATGCATTCACTGAGCCATTCTTGGATCTGGACCAGCTGGGCTCATCTTAGGCACTTGATCATGCATGTGGGGTGAGCTAGTGCCTGGTATGAGGCCGAATGGTCTTGGATAGCCTTATGGACATGTCTGGTAGTTAGCAGGCTCTCAGATAGCCAGGGTAATAGGGATAACTGGGCTTTGCTGTCATCATCAAGAAGGCTATTCCACGCTTCCTCATAAAGTAGTTGCCAGAAAAGCAGAAAGAAAAGGCAAGCCACAATGCATAAGCACTTTTGGAGCCTCTGCTTGCATCAGGCTTTCTACTGTCCTACTGTCCAGAGCAAGTCATAAGACCCACCCAGATTCAACGGTTGAAGAGGCAGATAGCATCTTGATGGGAGGAACTGCAAATCGACATCCTAAAGAGGCATGCAGGGATAAGAATAGATTGTGGCTATATTTACAATTTCCTCCATGGATTGTCATCCCTATGCTGTTGACACTGACAAACTTGCAGTGTTGGAGCTGGCCTTTGGTGCCTTGTCATTTTACTTCCCATGATTCTCCTATTCCCTTCCCTATGATCAACCAATGCCCTCAGATATCCTTAGGACAGAGCCTCCCACTGTGATGGTAACGAAATAAAAATGTGAACACCAGCCCACGTTTTTTGTTTTTGTTTTTAAAGGTAATCTTAGCTTTCCTATATCCAGTGTTCTCAGTTGTATTACTTTTGAAATTATGCTTCTTTCATCCTAGGATAGTGGTTATCAGGTGTGGGAAGCTCTGCTTTAAGAATAATGATAGGGTGTATAACCCACTTCCCTGGCTTCTTAATGGGAAGAAGAAATGCTTCATTTTGAATATAAATTGGGAAAATCAATCTCCATTACAGATACTCTAAAGTCAAATCTTGGGTTACTCCCTGCACTACCTTACTAGAAACAAACAGTAGGCCTGGTGTCTCACGCCTGTAATCCCAGCCCTTTAAGAGGCTGAGGCGGGTGAATCACCTGAGGTCAGGGGTTTGAGACCAGCCTGAACTACATGCTGAGACTTTGTCTCTACTAAAAATATAAAAATTATCCTGGTGTGGGGTGCATGCCTGTAATCCCAGCTACTCAGGAGGCTGAGGCAGGAGAATTGCTTGAACCTGGGAAGCGGAGGTTGCAGTGAGCCAAGATCACGCCACTGCACTCCAGCCTAGGCAATGAGAAACTCCGTCTCAAAAAACAAACAAATAAACAAACAAACAGCTATTATTGGTAACTCATAGTTCTCTTCTGAAACCATTTTATTTCTTCCTCTGTGGGCTATACAGCTACAAAAGATCAGACTACGAAGCTCAAGGGAATCCTGAAAAGCAAGACTGAAGACAGGAGATTAAGGGAAGGGCCAGTTGCCCAAGTACTGCAAGATGAGCATCAGGCCCACAGGACTCTCTGTGAGTGCAGGAGTAACATCAGGAGAAGCCCACAGGCAGTAACAGAAAAGGGCACGGGGGTGAGGACTCTGCAGGGGAAACTATTAGAGGTAGATTCTAATAGTGTGGCTTTTTTTTTTCTCTTGATATCCCAGGTCCTGGAAGCCAAGAGCCCAGACATTCCCAGTTGAGAATTGTGTTAGTGGGTAAAACTGGAGCAGGAAAAAGTGCAACAGCAAACAGCATCCTTGGAGAGAAAGTGTTTCATTCTGGCATTGCAGCAAAATCCATTACCAAGAATTGTGAGAAATGCAGCGGCATGTGGAAGGAAACAGAACTCGTCGTGGTTGACACGCCAGGCATTTTCGACACTGAGGTGCAGAATGCTGACACGTGCAAGGAGATTGTTCGCTGCATCCTCCTGACCTCCCCAGGGCCTCATGCTCTGCTTCTGGTGGTCCCACTAGGCCGTTACACCAAGGAAGAGCAGCAGGCCACAGAGAAGATCCTGAAAATGTTTGGAGAGAGGGCTAGAAGATTCATGATTCTCCTATTCACCCGGAAAGATGACTTAGATGGCACCAATTTGCATGATTACTTAATGGAAGCTCCAAAAGGCATTCAAGACTTGATGAACATTTTTGGTGACCGCTACTGTGCGTTCAACAACAGGGCAACAGGCGCTGAGCAGGAGGCCCAGAGGGCGCAGCTGCTGGCCCTGGTCCAGCTCGTGGTGAGCAAGAACAAAGGAGGCTGCTACACTAACAGGATGTACCAAATGGCCGAGGAGGAGATCCAGAAGCAAACCCAAGCGATGCAAGAGTGCTACAGAGTGGAGATGGAGAGAGAGAAAGCACGGATAAGAGAGGAGTATGAAGAGATAATCAGCAAGCTGAGAGATGAAATGGAGCAGGAAAAGAGAAGGGCACAAATGGCGAAGGAACTAGCAGAACAGGAGGCTCTCTGTGTCGCAAGGCAGCAAGAGGCAAGAATGGAAGTGGAGAATCAGAATGGGATGCTTGAATTAATCATTAATGCATTAAAGATTGCTCTCTTAATTTTCTCACGTGTGTTCATGGAAGATTAAACTTAATGAAAACCTGTTTGTATTTTCCGCATATTCTCTGGCAACCTTGCCCCATACTTAACTCATTTCGCAAAGTTGGAGTGCTCTAGTTTCTGTCTCTCAGGTGCTCATAAATAAGGACCACCATTGTCCATTGGTAGATGTTTGATTGACTTAACAAGAGAAGGACAAATTTTTAATTTGTGAAACTCCAAAGTAGAAGGCATTGGTGCTTGCTACCTTGTGAATTCTTCCTTAGACATGCAGAGAAAATGTATGCAAGAGACCAAAGAAGATGACTCCAAGCTATATCATGTTACCTCTAATAAAACCTTTTTTCTAGATTCTTTCTGTATTAGCAGATAGTCTCCACCTGTAGCTTCTACTCACTTATTTTTGTGTTCAGAGTCACAGGGATCATCTTACTCATATGGTTTGTTAGAAAGATCAATTCTTTGTTTGCAGTAGGTAATCTTAGAGATGGAGATAATTGTAGAATTATTTCTAGATGAGTGTCTATTTAATTCCATTGTTATATAAAGAGTCAAATTGTTTTTTATCATTTGTTCATTAAAGAACAGAGACTTGTCTGGAAAATAGATCTCTACAAATTCAACTATATAGTGATCCCCGAATCCTGAAAGAGTGAAAGACAGCAATTCAACAGATAAGAGAGCAATGATTGGTATATTCAGGTAAATCTGTAGAAACTCTTCGACCAACCTCAGTTTAACCAGTTTGATAAATAGTCAGTTGTCTCCTTTTCTTGAGAAATAACAGATAGTTGTGACCCCACCTCCTTCACTCCACACCTTGAATACTTGTTGTTTGGCAGGTCATACCCACACTTCTGCCCCCACTGCATTGAATTTTTTGCTTATTGTGTTTATAATGAAACTTTTCAGTTATCTCATATTTGTGCAGAATTAGAACTTGTTTCGTCTTGGAAAATACTACTGCTACTTCTAATAATATAGGGATTAATTTCGCTTTTTGGTAAAAGTTCAAGATAATTTTGGAGCTAGACTTGGTCTACTCTCATGCTGTCCCCCCTTCCCCCTTTTGCTAGAAGACTTGAGCCACAATTTCAACCCGTTCATCAGCCAAAGACCACAACTTCCTTGGATCTTCATTATGTGCCAGTGGACATTATGTGTAACCAAAGTTTCTGAGACCTGTGTAGTTCTGTTGGTGCAAAAATTCCCTTTAATATAGAGATAGCGATGGTTGAAGTTCCTATCCCTTTTCTACTGGGTTTTCCTCACTTAATAATTTCTAGAAATTCTGAAAGCATGTTTTCCTGTTTTACTAATATGTCCTAGTGGTCACATGTGACTTATGCCAACTTTCCATATTCTGTCATCTTGAAATTGGCTTCTCCATGCCCTAAATCATTTTGCCCAAAATAGGATACACATTTCTTCCTTATTTCCCAAAAGCACAAATAAGTTTAGACTATACATTTAACAAAAGTTAGCAAAGGCTCAAAGATAAGAGAAGCACTACACAATGAAATGTGTGATTTCTGTAGAAATAATCACTCAGAGTAAGACAGCTTCTGTCTCTCACCTCACAGAAAGTGGGCGTACTTGTGTCTATTGTTTTTATCATTGAAGTTTTAGCCAACATTTTGAGACAGGAATTTAATATCCTATTGTATTACAACTGTCTGTAAGCAAATCTTTGAACAAAAAGCCACACATTCCTCCCAAGAAAAAGAAAATTCAGGTTTAATAGGAAAAAGTCTTTAACTGCAGTGGTTATTTTCAGTGTAACACACACTCAATTATTCTTACCCTTGCATTCAGGTTAATGCTGCAGATGAGGCAAAGAAAAAGACTCTGACTTAAGAAGCAGTGAGCAGGTGAGAGGCTCATGTGAAAAATTCTAAGAAGAGGGTTGCCTGTTTGCCTCCCAGGAGAGAAGGCAGACAGAAGGTCCTTGGCAAATACTAGGCATTGTGATTAGTACAAGAAGAGAGTGAGACATGCTCCCTTCTCTCAATAGTTCTGCGAGTTCATACCTACTCATGCATTCTTTAAAACTCATTGATTTCTTGTATCTCATGGTTGGTTCTAGAGCAGACACTGAGAATCTAGAGATGAGCAAAAGAAGTCCCTTTTGAGATTGGGTTCATTCATCTCAGCATAATGCTTTTGAGAGTCATCTGAGTTACCTGTTCTTTCTTTCTTTCTTTCTTTTTCTTTTCTTTGTTTGACTGAGAAGTATTTTTTCATATGGACATTCCGTAGTTTGTCTGTCAGTTCTTCTTAATTCATTTCTTAATTAATCTTCTTAATCAATTAATTGATTTTTTTGTTTGATTGCATTGGCTAATACCTCCATTATAATGTTGAGCAGTAGTGGAGATGACAAGCATGCCTTATTCTTGGCAATGCCTCCAATGTTTTCCAATTAAATAAGTAAGGTTCTGGATTATGGTAGTATCATTGATCTGCTTTTCCTCTTCTTAAGATAGATAGTTCAGATATCTGATTTTAGAACTCTCTTTTTCACTAACATAAGTCTGTAAAGCTATAAAATTTCTCTCTGTTTATGTTTGTCCACATTTTTATTTGGAGAGGTGGTGAGAGAAAATATTATTTGAGTTATGAAAGCTTTTGTGGGAAAATTGGGGGAAAGGCCAGATATTTAAATGTTTACACAACATGAAAGACCTACCACGGAGGCACCATTTTGAATGAAACACTTTGAGTTCACTATCAGCTCAGCTGGTAGCTATTGTCCCCAGCCACTGAGAGGACAGGGCAAAAGGGATTCCCCTGCATGGGTCTTTTCTGGCTGCCTCACTGTCTGGGCTCTGCAGAGATGGATTGTGAGCACAGCTTCAATGACACAACCACATTGTGAAAGTAATCGTTCTACTATAAGGACACGTGTACACGAATGTTCATTGCAGCACTGTTTACAATAGCAAGGACCTGGAACCAACCCAAATGCCCATCGACGATAGACTGGATAGGGAAAATGTGGCACATATACACCATGGAATATTATGCAGCCATCAAAAACGATGAGTTTGGGTCCTTTGTGGGGACATGGATGAACCTGGAAACCATCATTCTCAGCAAACTGACAGAGGAGCAGAAGATCAAACACTGCATGTTCTCACTCATAGGCGGGTGTTGAACGATGAGAGCACATGGACAAAGGGAGGGGAGCACTACACACTGGGGTCAGTTGGGGGGAAATAGGGGAGGGATGGTGGGGGGTGGGGAGCTGGGGGGGGATAGCAGGGGGAGAAATGCCAGATGTAGGTGATGGGGAGGAAGGCAGCAAATCACACTGCCAGGTGTGTTCCTATGCAACAATTTTGCATGTTCTTCACATGTACCCCAAAACCTAAAATACAATAAAATAAATAAATGGGGAAAAAAAAAAAAAAAGTTAAAATATTTCCAAATTTATGAAAGGTGTTGTAAATTCAGGATAAAATATGAATTCACGGTATAAATGTTTTTAAATCATCCACATTTGTTAAGTAAGAATTCTAGCCATGTATTTGACACAAGTCCCATGTTATGTAAGCAGTCTCATTTTCATGCTCTGTTCCATTTTTTGAATCCAACATGAAGCATTTCATCTTCCTCCACTTATACCGAGTAGTAGGTATTAAAAGTAGGATATTCCCAGGGCAGTGTGGGAGCTCTCTCTCTCTCTCTCTCTCTCTCTCTCTCTCTCTCCGCTTTCTGCCTAATAAATCACTTTGTGAAAAAAAGGTAGGATATATTTTCAATCCAGGAAATTAGAGGCTGTCCCACCTCTGGAGGGCTGGGAATGCAGAGATCTTGAAAACTCACTGGTACACAGAGCTGGGTGGTTTCCAGGCGCTCATTTGCTGTGACATGCAGCTAGGTCTGTTCATTGTCTCTCTGCTGTTGCTGCCAGAGAATGGTCCTTCTTCCTTGTCCACCATCCAAATCTCATGTGAATGTCTCACTGTGGTTGACTCTCACTTGGACCATACAATGTAACAAGTGATGAGAAATATCATTTGAGGCTCCTCTGTGATTCAGAAACAACAAATGATTCGGGACAGCTGAAGCATTCATATGGAAGCGTTCATCATCAATCTGACCTTTTTGTGGAAAATGTTTCCTAGCCCATTTAAGACACACTCATTGAGGCTGAGAATACCCAGGACAAAATAGCTTTGATCTTGTATTTTAACTACTTGCTGTCTGTCTTCTACAGTTACGGCTGATGAAGAACACTTCCTTGTCCACCATTGGTTTCCAATGTCCTGGAGTGCGTGAAGCACTCATTAAATATTTTTTACCCGTTTGGCAGCTGCACATCACCCTTGCCCTTGGAGATTGGTAAAACTTGGCTCAAACTGCATTTCCACAGCACACAGAGTCCAGACTCCCTCCTGCAGGGGGCTTTCTGCATTCACTTCCTCATTCTTCCCCTACTTTCTCCTGCATGGGCCACTGTCCCTTGTCTTACCCCATTTCATGCACTTGAAGTTCATTCAATTGAAGTTCAGTTTTCTGCCTGGTTTCCACCATCATAACAGTGATCAGCATTGTATAGGCTTTAGCAGCTTTCCTACAGATTTTGAGTTATAGGGGAGGGTATCAAAGGCAGCACTGGGCATTTCTATACTGAGCCCACTCTCCTCCCTCTGGCTTGGAAAGAGAAATTAATTATCCCTCTACACCCAGGAGGAAGCAACTTTTGAGCTGCTTAATAAATCGTCTCCTTTTCAGGAACGCAGATGACTGATCAATTCCAGGATGTTAGAGAACATGACACCCACTGGACCCCTTCCTTCTATTGTTTCAACTTTTTAAAAACAGGAAACAGACTGTTCTCTTTTCCCTTTGCCCTGTGGTGACCAGATGTGACCTTCACGTTTGCTTTCTCTTTCTACTCTACAGGCACCAGTGAAGGTCTCTTTCTGGCAGCTCTGCCTGGTCTTCTCTCCTGGAGCTGTCATTCTCTGGTTGTCACGTGGCCTAGCATGGGGAATAGCTCCCTTCCATTCCAGTGGAAGGATTAGACACTCACTTTGGGCTCTGGTTCCTGCTCTGGTCTCTACTCCATCTTTATTAGAAAGTCTTATCCTTCTGGTAAAAAGATGGTATTTTGCCTGATCTGATTGAGTTCTTTGTGTGTTCTATGTCCTTCAGAATCCTGGAGGAGAGAAGGGTTTTTGGCACCCTGTCATTTACTAGTAACGTTGGAAATGGGGGAAATGCTTAAATGTCAGGCTTAGGAACGCAAATTCCCAGGTCCCACCCTACACCTACTTCCTCAGAAACTTTGTATTTTAACAAGCCTTAAATGCATGCTAATGCTTGAGGTTTTTCGAAAATACAAAATTTGCTTCATAGATATGCAGAGAAAAACCTGCAGAAATAATCAGCTTCCAACATTCAAAAATATTAATAGAATATTTTCAGCCTTGTTAGCCTGAGTACTAACTTCAGAATGGATTGTCTGCATTTTATCATTTCTCCAATTGCCATGACAAGGCTCAGGTTTCCAGGTTACTAGACAATAACATTTTATACAGAAGTCTAGGTAATAAGATATGGAAACCCCACTCTTCTATGGGAAAAGAGCCAGAGAGGAAGGCAGAAAAATAAAGCAGTCAAATGTGTGTCCTGAGTTTTGTCTCTCCAGATGTTGGCTCAGGAAATGTTAGATACTGGAATTCTACTCATCCCTTAAACCTTGGTCTGGGGAGTGCTTTCAGGAGAACAGTCTTTCAAATGTGGATGTGGCCATGTGTAGTTCCTTACTTTGAGGATCTAAACACCTTCACTTTCTGTCTGGTTTTCATCACTCTATGTTGCTTTCCAATATTTTATTCTTTTTTAAAAATTATACTTTAAGTTCTGGGATTCATGTGAAGAAGGTGCAGGTTTGTTACATAGATATACA